TTTCTAAAAATGTATCAATTAAAAACATCAAATAAAACCTTAGCTAATGTTTTTTTGGAATTTTATTTTTCTATGTGTAATTTTTTTCACCACAACTTGACTTTTCGATAAAATTTTCTAGTTCCAATAGTCATAGAACTATGCAGTTTTCTGTTTTTGATTAAGTTTAATACGATAAATAATCTGGTCTGTTCAAATTTGTTATGGTATCAACAGTTTTGTCAAAATTTGTTGATTAATGTATGAAAGTGGTGAAAAATTTTCACCATAATTATATTTTTCACATATTTTCGCCTTATAAATAACGGAAAGTCTAGATATCTGCTAATTTTCTTATATTATGGACAATTATCTGTGTAAATCAGTTAAAATAATAACAATTAAACACAAAATCATGGTAAAAATAATTTTTCAAAATTATTGAAACATGATAACTTTAATGAAGGAAAATCTCTGAAAAAACTTGATGCAAAATTCTAAAACTTACACTAATTACTCGTTTTTGTTGATAGAACCATATTAAAAAAGATTTAGATCAATATACAATACAGGAAGCTTAAAATCTTAAATTTTTTCAAGTGCGTCTAAACGAACTTCGCACTTTGTTGTTGTAATTTTTGAAAAAATTAATTTAATTACCTTAACAAAACACCAAGTCAAATAGTTTTAGTTTATTTTAAACCTTCTTAGTACTAGCTATAAATACACAAAATAGTTATTCCCTTAATAATGTTGAAGTAAGTAAAACATTAAAATATTGAAGTGCGTCTAAACGAACTTCGCGCACCTTATCTAAATTAGCATTCTTTATCATTTTTAATACCTAGATATGTTTTAAATTGCAATTTAAAGCATTTTTGGTTTTGATCAAAGTAGGCTATTTTCAAAAAAATATCGATTTTATATTTAAATTAGCATTCTTTATCATTTAAAATACCTAGATATGTTTTAAAATGAAATTTAAAGCATTTTTGGTTTTGATCATAGTAGGTTTTTTTCAACAAAATATCGATTTGATATCTAAGTTAGCATTCTTTATCATTTATAATACCTAGATATGTTTTAAAATGAAATTTAAAGCATTTTTGGTTTTGATCAAAGTAGGCTATTTTCAAAAAAATATCGATTTTATATCTAAATTAGCATTCTTTATCATTTATAATACCTAGATATGTTTTAAAATGCAATTTAAAGCATTTTTGGTTTTGATTATAGTAGGCTATTTTCAAAAAAATATCGATTTTATATTTAAATTAGCATTTGTTATCATTTATAATACCTTGATATGTTTTAAAATGAAATTTAAAGCATTTTTGGTTTCGATCTTAGTAGGCTTTTTTCAAAAAAATATCGATTTTATATCTAAATTAGCATTCTTTATCATTTAAAATACCTAGATATGTTTTAAAATGAAATTTAAAGCATTTTTGGTTTTGATCAAAGTAGGCTATTTTCAAAAAAATATCGATTTTATATCTAAATTAGCATTCTTTATCATTTATTATACCTTGATATGTTTTAAAATGAAATTTAAAGCATTTTTGGTTTTGATCAAAGTAGGCTATTTTCAAAAAAATATCAATTTTATATCTAAATAAGCATTCTTTATCATTTATAATGCCTAGGTATGTTTTAAAATGCAATTTAAAGCATTTTTGGTTTTGATCATAGTAGGCTATTTTCAAAAAAATATCGATTTTATATCTATATAAACATTCTTTATCATTTATAATGCCTAGGTATGTTTTAAAATTCAATTTAAAGCATTTTTGGTTTTGATTATAGTAGGCTTTTTTCAAAAAAATGTATCGATTTTATATCTAAATTAGCATTCTTTATCATTTATAATACCTTGATATGTTTTAAAATTCAATTTAAAGCATTTTTGGTCTTGATTATAGTAGGCTATTTTCAAAAAAATATCGATTTTATATTTAAATTAGCATTCTTTATCATTTATAATACCAAGGTATGTTTTAAAATGCAATTTAAAGCATTTTTGGTTTTGATCATAGTAGGTTTTTTTCAAAAAAATATCGATTTTATATCTAAATAAGCATTCTTTATCATTTATAATATCTAGATATGTTTTAAAATACAATTTAAAGCATTTTTGGTTTCGATCATAGTAGGCTATTTTCAAAAAAATATCGATTTTATATCTAAATTAGCATTCTTTATCATTTAAAATACCTAGATATGTTTTAAAATGAAATTTAAAGCATTTTTGGTTTCGATCATAGTAGGCTATTTTCAAAAAAATATCGATTTTATATCTAAATTAGCATTCTTTATCATTTAAAATACCTAGATATGTTTTAAAATGAAATTTAAAGCATTTTTGGTTTCGATTATAGTAGGCTATTTTCAAAAAAATATCGATTTTATATTTAAATTAGCATTCTTTATCATTTATAATACCAAGGTATGTTTTAAAATGCAATTTAAAGCATTTTTGGTTTTGATCATAGTAGGTTTTTTTCAAAAAAATATCGATTTTATATCTAAATAAGCATTCTTTATCATTTATAATATCTAGATATGTTTTAAAATACAATTTAAAGCATTTTTGGTTTCGATCAAAGTAGGCTATTTTCAAAAAAATATCGATTTTATATCTAAATTAGCATTCTTTATCATTTTTAATATCTAGATATGTTTTAAAATACAATTTAAAGCATTTTTGGTTTCGATCATAGTAGGCTATTTTCAAAAAAATATCAATTTTATATCTAAATAAGCATTCTTTATCATTTATAATATCTAGATATGTTTTAAAATACAATTTAAAGCATTTTTGGTTTCGATCATAGTAGGCTATTTTCAAAAAAATATCGATTTTATATCTAAATTAGCATTCTTTATCATTTAAAATACCTAGATATGTTTTAAAATGAAATTTAAAGCATTTTTGGTTTCGATTATAGTAGGCTATTTTCAAAAAAATATCGATTTTATATCTAAATTAGCATTCTTTATCATTTAAAATACCTAGATATGTTTTAAAATACAATTTAAAGCATTTTTGGTTTCGATCATAGTAGGCTATTTTCAAAAAAATATCAATTTTATATCTAAATAAGCATTCTTTATCATTTATAATACCTAGATATGTTTTAAAATGCAATTTAAAGCATTTTTGGTTTTGATCATAGTAGGCTATTTTCAAAAAAATATCAATTTTATATCTAAATAAGCATTCTTTATCATTTATAATACCTAGATATGTTTTAAAATGCAATTTAAAGCATTTTTGGTTTTGATCATAGTAGGCTATTTTCAAAAAAATATCGATTTTATATCTAAATTAGCATTCATTATCATTTATAATATCTAGGTATGTTTTAAAATGCAATTTAAAGCATTTTTGGTTTTGATTATAGTAGGCTATTTTCAAAAAAATATCGATTTTATATTTAAATTAGCATTTGTTATCATTTATAATACCTTGATATGTTTTAAAATGAAATTTAAAGCATTTTTGGTTTCGATCTTAGTAGGCTATTTTCAAAAAAATATCGATTTTATATCTAAATTAGCATTCATTATCATTTATAATACCTAGGTATGTTTTAAAATGCAATTTAAAGCATTTTTGGTTTTGATGATAGTAGGCTATTTTCAAAAAAATATCGATTTTATATTTAAATTAGCATTTGTTATCATTTATAATACCTTGATATGTTTTAAAATGAAATTTAAAGCATTTTTGGTTTCGATCTTAGTAGGCTTTTTTCAAAAAAATATCGATTTTATATCTATATAAACATTCTTTATCATTTATAATGCCTATATATGTTTTAAAATGAAATTTAAAGCATTTTTGGTTTCGATCTTAGTAGGCTATTTTCAAAAAAATATCGATTTTATATCTAAATTAGCATTCTTTATTATTTAAAATACCTAGATATGTTTTAAAATGAAATTTAAAGCATTTTTGGTTTTGATCAAAGTAGGCTATTTTCAAAAAAATATCAATTTTATATCTAAATAAGCATTCTTTATCATTTATAATGCCTAGGTATGTTTTAAAATGCAATTTAAAGCATTTTTGGTTTTGATCATAGTAGGTTTTTTTCAACAAAATATCGATTTTATATCTAAATTAGCATTTGTTATCATTTTTAATACCTAGATATGTTTTAAAATACAATTTAAAGCATTTTTGGTTTCGATCATAGTAGGCTATTTTCAAAAAAATATCGATTTTATATCTAAATTAGCATTCTTTATCATTTAAAATACCTAGATATGTTTTAAAATGAATCAAGGTATTAACGCTCTTAGATTCCTTAAACAGAATCTCTCCCAACAAGCTCTCATGAAATTTTTTCATGGTCACTTACAATCACACATCAGCTATTGTGCTTTTTCCCTCTTAAGGTGCAGAAGTATTGACATTGAAAGAATGCAACGGCTTCAAAGCAAAGCCCTTAAGATCATTCTCGACTTACCTGATATGCATCCTATTCTCGATCTTTTCACCAAAAATGCAGAACAGATCATGTGTGTTGTTGGCTTGATTTATTACTCTGCACTAATAATGGTGAAGAAAAGTGTTCTCTGCAAAGATGAATCACTTCCCTCTATTAATCGAGCTAGAAGCACTAGACGTAGTGATTTAATTTTATCTATCGCTAGGAAGAAAGTGATGTCTGATGACATTACTAACATTGGCTGCAAACTTTTTAACGAACTTCCAGCTGACATTAAAAGCGAAAACAATTTCTTCCTTTTCAAAGCACAATTAAGAAAGTTTATAATAAGCAGAAATGCATCTTTGATTAAACATGGTCAGTTTAGTAATAAGAGCTTCAATCTGTAACTTGTAACTGTCTTGCACCATTTAAATGCTTGAATCAATGCGTTGCTCAGTCCGCATCTTCACAAATATTTAGTCCAAAATAGCAACTCTAGTAATTGAGTATTTAATTGTTTTTTTTTTCCTTCTTATTTCGCTATCATTTAATTATTTTAAGTAAATTTTTCTAATAGTTGAAATGGGTACTTATACAAGTGAGGATGAAGTCCTTGAATTAAATGCAGATTTCTCAGATTTTACATCTGATGATGAAAAGGTTATTGAGCAGAAAACTGAAACGATTACAGATCCAGTAATAAATGAGAAAATATGGTTGAAGTTTTTTAGGAAGGGAAAGGTCTCTTTGAGGGATATTCGTGATGACTTGTTGAGAATACTGGTGAAAGTTTATGGTGTAAGCATTAATGGAATTTACTTGGTTGATAACTCGGTCGTTTTGGTCGAAATAGAAGTAGATAGTTCCTCCAAGAACTTTCTTTTATTTATTTACGAGGAACGGCTGGGCAATAAAATTGTCAATCGTAAATCCTTTAATGACACCACTAAGTTTTGTGATGGAAAGTTTTCAATGTCGATCAACAATGTTGTTTTGTTTCTGGTAGTATTATCAAGAACAAGATTGATTTATATTCCCTGCAAAACTTGCTCTCTTCCGTTTGGTCTTTCAAATGGTGAAGTAATTAATATTGAAACTAGTTCTTTCTTTGTTGATGAGAGATTCAATGTATATGAATGTCTGTTAGCACTTCAGGGTGAGTTGGATATCTTCTCGGACTGTCTTATAGGAATCAGAATGGAATTGGATAGTGTTGCTGAGAAATCCTCTCGTATTAGATTTAGCTTAAAGCTTGGACAACTATCTAACACAGTTTTAATGAAACTTAAAAAATTCTTTGGAATGACTCACTTCTCGCCGACCACTTTGCATCTTCTGCCTTCAATTAATGATGCCTCAAGTGAATCCAGCTCAATTCAACTTCCTGACTTTGGTCCTTGTTTGATGAACGCAGACTTATTGTATCCGAGAGACTCGCCTTCGCAGGATATTGGTAGAAGTAACATAAACTCAGTTAATTTTTTTCATTTTAGGCGCAACAGCAAGACAATCAAAAGGAAAAAGAGACATTCATTGCTTTACAGTCAGACCGCAAGCATTAACTAATGAATTACATTCAACACTTTCAATTAATTAATGAAATACAACAACTGTTTTTGAATTTATTTTATACATTCTTTATATTTTCTCTTCTTTTTGAGCGACCGAAATGGTCCAATAAAATCTTTGAAATTGAAAATTGAAAAATTTAAAGCATTTTTGGTTTTGATCATAGTAGGTTTTTTTCAACAAAATATCGATTTTATATCTAAATTAGCATTTGTTATCATTTTTAATACCTAGATATGTTTTAAAATACAATTTAAAGCATTTTTGGTTTCGATCATAGTAGGCTATTTTCAAAAAAATATCGATTTTATATCTAAATTAGCATTCTTTATCATTTAAAATACCTAGATATGTTTTAAAATGAAATTTAAAGCATTTTTGGTTTTGATCAAAGTAGGCTATTTTCAAAAAAATATCGATTTTATATCTAAATTAGCATTCTTTATCATTTTTAATATCTAGATATGTTTTGAAATACAATTTAAAGCATTTTTGGTTTCGATCATAGTAGGCTATTTTCAAAAAAATATCAATTTTATATCTAAATAAGCATTCTTTATCATTTATAATATCTAGATATGTTTTAAAATACAATTTAAAGCATTTTTGGTTTCGATCATAGTAGGCTATTTTCAAAAAAATATCGATTTTATATCTAAATTAGCATTCTTTATCATTTAAAATACCTAGATATGTTTTAAAATGAAATTTAAAGCATTTTTGGTTTTGATCAAAGTAGGCTATTTTCAAAAAAATATCGATTTTATATCTAAATTAGCATTTTTTATCAATTTTAATATCTAGATATGTTTTAAAATACAATTTAAAGCATTTTTGGTTTTGATCATAGTAGGCTATTTTCAAAAAAATATCAATTTTATATCTGAATAAGCATTCTTTATCATTTATAATACCTAGATATGTTTTAAAATGCAATTTAAAGCATTTTTGGTTTTGATCATAGTAGGCTATTTTCAAAAAAATATCGATTTTATATCTATATAAACATTCTTTATCATTTATAATGCCTAGGTATGTTTTAAAATTCAATTTAAAGCATTTTTGGTTTTGATCAAAGTAGGCTATTTTCAAAAAAATATCGATTTTATATCTAAATTAGCATTCTTTATCATTTTTAATATCTAGATATGTTTTAAAATACAATTTAAAGCATTTTTGGTTTCGATCATAGTAGGCTATTTTCAAAAAAATATCAATTTTATATCTAAATAAGCATTCTTTATCATTTATAATATCTAGATATGTTTTAAAATACAATTTAAAGCATTTTTGGTTTCGATCATAGTAGGCTATTTTCAAAAAAATATCGATTTTATATCTAAATTAGCATTCTTTATCATTTAAAATACCTAGATATGTTTTAAAATGAAATTTAAAGCATTTTTGGTTTCGATCATAGTAGGCTATTTTCAAAAAAATATCGATTTTATATCTAAATTAGCATTCTTTATCATTTAAAATACCTAGATATGTTTTAAAATACAATTTAAAGCATTTTTGGTTTCGATCATAGTAGGCTATTTTCAAAAAAATATCAATTTTATATCTAAATAAGCATTCTTTATCATTTATAATACCTAGATATGTTTTAAAATGCAATTTAAAGCATTTTTGGTTTTGATCATAGTAGGCTATTTTCAAAAAAATATCAATTTTATATCTAAATAAGCATTCTTTATCATTTATAATACCTAGATATGTTTTAAAATGAAATTTAAAGCATTTTTGGTTTCGATTATAGTAGGCTATTTTCAAAAAAATGTATCGATTTTATATCTGAATTAGCATTCTTTATCATTCATAATACCTTGATATGTTTTGAAATTCAATTTAAAGCATTTTTGGTTTTGATTATAGTAGGCTATTTTCAAAAAAATATCGATTTTATATTTAAATTAGCATTTGTTATCATTTATAATACCTAGGTATGTTTTAAAATGCAATTTAAAGCATTTTTGGTTTTGATCATAGTAGGCTATTTTCAAAAAAATATCGATTTTATGTCTAAATTAGCATTTGTTATCATTTTTAATACCTAGATATGTTTTAAAATACAATTTAAAGCATTTTTGGTTTTGATCATAGTAGGCTATTTTCAAAAAAATATCGATTGTATATCTAAATTAGCATTCTTTATCATTTATAATACCTAGATATGTTTTAAAATGCAATTTTAAAGCATTTTTGGTTTTGATCATAGTAGGCTATTTTCAAAAAAATATCGATTTTATATCTATATAAACATTCTTTATCATTTATAATGCCTATATATGTTTTAAAATGAAATTTAAAGCATTTTTGGTTTCAATCTTAGTAGGCTATTTTCAAAAAAATATCGATTTTATATCTAAATTAGTATTCTTTATCATTTAAAATACCTAGATATGTTTTAAAATGAAATTTAAAGCATTTTTGGTTTTGATCATAGTAGGCTATTTTCAAAAAAATATCGATTTTATATCTAAATTAGCATTCATTATCATTTATAATATCTAGGTATGTTTTAAAATGCAATTTAAAGCATTTTTGGTTTTGATTATAGTAGGCTATTTTCAAAAAAATATCGATTTTATATTTAAATTAGCATTTGTTATCATTTATAATACTTTGATATGTTTTAAAATGAAATTTAAAGCATTTTTGGTTTCGATCTTAGTAGGCTATTTTCAAAAAAATATCGATTTTATATCTAAATTAGCATTCATTATCATTTATAATACCTAGGTATGTTTTAAAATGCAATTTAAAGCATTTTTGGTTTTGATTATAGTAGGCTATTTTCAAAAAAATATCGATTTTATATTTAAATTAGCATTTGTTATCATTTATAATACCTTGATATGTTTTAAAATGAAATTTAAAGCATTTTTGGTTTCGATCTTAGTAGGCTTTTTTCAAAAAAATATCGATTTTATATCTATATAAACATTCTTTATCATTTATAATGCCTATATATGTTTTAAAATGAAATTTAAAGCATTTTTGGTTTCGATCTTAGTAGGCTATTTTCAAAAAAATATCGATTTTATATCTAAATTAGCATTCTTTATCATTTATAATACCTAGGTATGTTTTAAAATGCAATTTAAAGCATTTTTGGTTTTGATTATAGTAGGCTATTTTCAAAAAAATATCGATTTTTTATTTAAATTAGCATTTGTTATCATTTATAATACCTTGATATGTTTTAAAATGAAATTTAAAGCATTTTTGGTTTCGATCTTAGTAGGCTTTTTTCAAAAAAATATCGATTTTATATCTATATAAACATTCTTTATCATTTATAATGCCTATATATGTTTTAAAATGAAATTTAAAGCATTTTTGGTTTTGTTCAAAGTAGGCTATTTTCAAAAAAATATCGATTTTATATCTAAATAAGCATTCTTTATCATTTATAATACCTAGATATGTTTTAAAATGCAATTTAAAGCATTTTTGGTTTTGATTATAGTAGGCTATTTTCAAAAAAATATCGATTTTATATTTAAATTAGCATTTGTTATCATTTATAATACCTAGGTATGTTTTAAAATGCAATTTAAAGCATTTTTGGTTTTGATCATAGTAGGCTATTTTCAAAAAAATATCGATTTTATGTCTAAATTAGCATTTGTTATCATTTTTAATACCTAGATATGTTTTAAAATACAATTTAAAGCATTTTTGGTTTTGATCATAGTAGGCTATTTTCAAAAAAATATCGATTGTATATCTAAATTAGCATTCTTTATCATTTATAATACCTAGATATGTTTTAAAATGCAATTTTAAAGCATTTTTGGTTTTGATCATAGTAGGCTATTTTCAAAAAAATATCGATTTTATATCTATATAAACATTCTTTATCATTTATAATGCCTATATATGTTTTAAAATGAAATTTAAAGCATTTTTGGTTTCAATCTTAGTAGGCTATTTTCAAAAAAATATCGATTTTATATCTAAATTAGTATTCTTTATCATTTAAAATACCTAGATATGTTTTAAAATGAAATTTAAAGCATTTTTGGTTTTGATCATAGTAGGCTATTTTCAAAAAAATATCGATTTTATATCTAAATTAGCATTCATTATCATTTATAATATCTAGGTATGTTTTAAAATGCAATTTAAAGCATTTTTGGTTTTGATTATAGTAGGCTATTTTCAAAAAAATATCGATTTTATATTTAAATTAGCATTTGTTATCATTTATAATACTTTGATATGTTTTAAAATGAAATTTAAAGCATTTTTGGTTTTGATTATAGTAGGCTATTTTCAAAAAAATATCGATTTTATATTTAAATTAGCATTTGTTATCATTTATAATACCTTGATATGTTTTAAAATGAAATTTAAAGCATTTTTGGTTTCGATCTTAGTAGGCTATTTTCAAAAAAATATCGATTTTATATCTAAATTAGCATTCTTTATCATTTATAATACCTAGGTATGTTTTAAAATGCAATTTAAAGCATTTTTGGTTTTGATTATAGTAGGCTATTTTCAAAAAAATATCGATTTTATATTTAAATTAGCATTTGTTATCATTTATAATACCTTGATATGTTTTAAAATGAAATTTAAAGCATTTTTGGTTTCGATCTTAGTAGGCTATTTTCAAAAAAATATCGATTTTATATCTAAATTAGCATTCTTTATCATTTATAATACCTAGGTATGTTTTAAAATGCAATTTAAAGCATTTTTGGTTTTGATTATAGTAGGCTATTTTCAAAAAAATATCGATTTTTTATTTAAATTAGCATTTGTTATCATTTATAATACCTTGATATGTTTTAAAATGAAATTTAAAGCATTTTTGGTTTCGATCTTAGTAGGCTTTTTTCAAAAAAATATCGATTTTATATCTATATAAACATTCTTTATCATTTATAATGCCTATATATGTTTTAAAATGAAATTTAAAGCATTTTTGGTTTTGTTCAAAGTAGGCTATTTTCAAAAAAATATCAATTTTATATCTAAAT